AAGCCCAAACCGGAGCCAGTCACAATGTCCCTGCAGCTGGCTGCGCTGCTGAGGGACGCGGCGTCAGTGGGGTCGCTGCTATTTACATACTCACACCGATTATTTACCTGTCAATAAAACCTCGTCCAGCCTCTAAAGGGAAAGGATTTTTTTTAACAGCTGCAGATTTTTTTTAATGCTTTGTAAAATAATAATAATAATTAAAAAAAAAAAGAGGGGGAGAAATAAGTTGCCAAAAAAAAAACAAACCCAGGAAGATGAGCCGTTGTCTGTGAAGTGATGCATCACTGTCTTGACTGGACTGGGAGCCAGCCAGGCACTCTGTATGTCCAGCTGCCTTCCCGTCCATCTGTCAACCTGCACATGTGAGGTAGTGTGGGCTGCTTTATCGGCTGCCTTTGTCCTGCCCTGACCACACTGTGCTCCCCAGAGCCTGCTGCCATCTCCCTTGTGCCCATGCCCAGATGCCCAGGCTGGGTGTATACTGCCTGGCTTCAGGGCCACTGCAGGAGTGTGGTTTTGCCATGCCCTTGAACCACACAGGACCTCTTCTTATAGGGCCTGAGAGACTTTAACAGAAATGAAGGGTGCTGGGGGTACGCAGTCTCCCACAGGCTACTCTGCTGATGGATGTTGTCCTTACCTACTGCTTTCTGAGTATTTCCCCCCCACAGGAATTTCTCTATGGATTGCATCCCTTCCCCAGCAGGATATGTTTTTGCCCTGCAATAGCACTGTCTATGGGTCGAGGCTTCACCTAATGGTTTCAGTCGCCTGGTGCAGTGGAAGCTGTAACTGGGGCATGAGACAGGATGAAGCCAGCCAGGTTCTCTGCCCACCTCAGGCAGCAAGATATCCTGTGAGATGGAGGAGTGAGATTCTTGGGTGTCTTGCACCATTGGCTTCGCTCTGGCTGCACTTGTGTTCATGTTGTACACCTTGCTGCTGCCAGGGACGCTTGAGGTGCCGAGACAAGGAGGCAGGTCTTGGCAGCTCTGGGTCCTGCAGGCCTTTTGCTCTCCAGGCTTCCTTAAGCATGCCTAGGAGGGACTGGAAGCAGATGGGGGATGGGATTTGGGGAGAACAGTGTGCTTGCAGTGTGAAAGAACAGACATCTCTGGTGTGTGAGGGTAAGGGACTGAAGTTTTTGATAGGGTCCTTTTGTGTCCCACCCTAGTGGGCAGGCCAAGCTCTGTGACCATTTTCAGAAGGCACTTTCTGGAGGCAGTGATGCTTTTGAACCTTTCTTTCCCCCCTTCCCTTTGTCATCTGATCCCTTATCCATGGGGTTTTAAAGTCTTGGGGAACCCACTTTGCTCTGTCTGGCAGGTCCTGCTCTACACAGGGGCCACCCGGGTTCTTTTGGGCAGGACAATGGTGCTGTGCTCTGTTGATGATGGGGAGCAAGGGGTTATTAGGTGAGAGGATGGTCCCTGCTGGATCCAGTGCCTATCGCAGCTCACACTGCGGGCTGCTTCACCAACTCTGATTTCATTAAACCTTTTCCCAGCACAAGTGCAACCTACTTGGCCAGGGATTGGGTATTCCCTTCAAACCACACTGGGGAGGAGGACATGGACCCATGCCTGGTGGCACACTACTGGGCAGGACATATTGTCTAGTTGCAATAGTGTGTTTCTTCCCGCAGCCCCGCAGGCAGGTCTGCCTGCCGTCTGCTAGCTTTTGGCTGTGACAAAAGCTTGGCTGTAGCTCAGATGTCATCGTGTCCCTCGGTTCGTGGGTTTTCAGTTGACCTGAGCTGATGCTATGGGACTGTATAGTGTTGCCTAGCAGCAGTAGCACGAGAGATGGTGTATAAGCACATCACTTCTTTTTCTTTATTGAGGCTGTGGCATCGGGAAAAAAGAAGCTTTTTAAATGAAATTAGTCAGTGTGTGATTTCTTCCTCGAGTCTCACACTGGTGTGATGGGAGTGGTTGGGCTGGGTTCCAGCGCCAGGATCCACATGCAGCCTGGGCAGCTGTCAGCGCCGGAGCACGTTACTGCTGCAGAGGTGGGGTGGACTGACCGACTGCAATAACTTTGTTTACTGGGGGGGTAAGGGGAGAACAATCACTGTGCTCCTCTTTGTATTTCAACCTACTGTAAAGAAACAAATGGTAGCTAGGACAGGATTTCCAGGGTCCTGCCTGTCAAATGTGTGTTGCCTACTCTACTCTGTGTGTGTGTGTGTGTGTGTGTACATGTGAGAGAAACGCTTCTGCTTGTTGCATTTCATGTTGGTTTGTGTTTTGTTCTAACTTTAGACAAGTGAATTCATCAGGAAACTCTGTATGCCTGAGGGCTTGCATCTCTGCTGTGGAAAGCTGCCATTGCTCTGAAATTCCTCTAACATGCAAGGAAACATCCCTGCTCCTCAGCCTTGTCCTCCTGGAGTCCAGCTGTGTGCCTGGGGGGATGGCTGTGGCGTTTCCCTGCCTTAGAGGCAAGGGCTGGCATGTGAGTTTGGTGGTACTGCTCCAGTCAGGGTGTTGTGCCTCTGTTGTTTCTCCTGTGTCCTGTGGCGCCACTTTGTGCAGCTGTTTCTGTCCCTGACTGGAGGAGAAACAGGTTTCTGTCTCTAAGGAAAAGGAGTGTCAAAGCATGCATGTGGCTCAGGCCATTTTGGGATCTTGGGCCTTCCACCCTCCCAGCTTCCCCAACAATTCTCTAGGGAGCCTGCCAAGATCCAGCCCCGCCAGCCAGAGATCTGTGCTGCTGCAGGGCAGCAGTGAGCCTGTGCCTGCAGAGCTGCAGCAGCCTGGTCAGGTTAGATGGTTGCATGTGGGTCAGTGGGTGCAGAAGGGTGGCTTAGAGCAGATACAGCACTGCTCTGCATTCAGCTTTTGAGAGTTTTGGTAAGGAAGGTGCAACTCAAAGAAAGAAACGCTATGGCATAGACAGGGCTTGCTTTGGAACCATGCTGTCTAACAGCGAAGGCAGGGGCTGGAGTGGGCAGCGTATGAGCGCAGGCGGTGTATGAGCTGATCTCTGGCTGGGGGGTGCTTTGAAGCTGATGTCCCCTGGTCTCCCTGTCCCTTTGTGTCCCAGAGCTCACATCTCCTGCTCTCCTGGCTGTGGCTTCTCAAAGCAGCTGGTTTCTTTTCCAACTGCTCTTGGATGGAGGGTGCTCACGCCTCGCTCAGAGGTGAGGTCTCAGGAGCAGGCTCATCGCTGTGCTGGGCTCTGCGATGCTGACCTAGTTTAGCAGCGCTGGCAAGCAGATGAAAAATGGAAGGGTTTTATGGCGTCGTGTTGCACCTTGAGTGCTTCCTGCTCCTCCAGGCTGAGTTTCCTGGAGACAAAGGCTGGACCTCAGCCTTGCCAGTGTTCAATCAGGGCTGGCCCTCCTGCGGCACTGGTGACTTGATGCCTTGTGCGTGGCTGTTTTTAACTCGGTGCTGCAGTTTCCATCCAGTTCAGTTCTTACCGTTTATATCTCGGCGGTAACAGCAGAGTCCTTCATTACCTGTTAGTTTGGGGATAGTCACTGTCTCTTTGGCTGTGCTTTGCTGCTTTAATTAGCACACGCTTGTGGCTTTATCCTGCGGAAAGGGCACGGGCTGGTGGCTGAGAGGTTTCTGTGGCTGGCAGAGATGTGCTGGTTTGCTTTCCATCATCAAACTCGGCTAAGAACCCAACTTCTCCGTGCTTAACCTGCAATTGCAGCAAAGGCCCCACTGTGATTCTCACCAGCAGTGTGCTGGAGGGAGCACAGCTGCTGTGGAGGGCATTGCCCCCAGCAGCTCCACATTTAGGAAGAAAAGCCTGTCAAGAGGAATAAGGGCTGGTGGCCTTCTCCTGATGCTTGGTGTGCCAAGGAATTGGGAAGGCTGGGATCAGGGCAGACCCGCTGTGTAGCAGTAAAGGACTGTGGGCCCTGGAGCTTTCCTGAAGCTAGATTGGATGCAGTGCTTGTGTCCCACTTCGTTCAGGGAGTCTTGATCTCAGCAGATAGCTGTGTGGTGGCATTTTAGTGTGTCACTCCTGGGCTTATCTGTCAGGGAGAAGGCCAGAAATGATCAGCAGCATCTCCCAGAGGCTTCCTGAAGCCTCTTCAGTGGGGTTCTCATGGGAGATGCTTCTGGTAGGGCTGGCTTCTCCGGAGTCACTTGGCTACTCTGGGACAGACTGGGGGAGGAGGGGACATGCCAGCTTGGAAAGCAGCAGTTCACTATTTTCATTAAGGAAGAGCACAGGTATGGGTCTACATCCAGTTAGCTGCTGCTTTGTGCCTTGGCCAGACAGTTGCAGAGTATTCTGCCCATGGCCATGGCGGCAAGCACCTTGTGAGCATGGGTACTGGGGCTGCGTGCTGCCAGCTTTGTCCGGGCTGAAGCATAAAAGGGGACGTTACCACTTCGTAGATTCCCGAGTTGTCCAGCTGTTTCGTTGTTGTAGTGTTTGGGCTCTAGGTTGGTTTTGCTTTTTTTTTTTTTCTGGAACAAACTGCAACGTGCTCGACCTCGTCAACTATTTTATGGTACTAATGCAACACTAATAAAACTGGACATGAAAGCACACACCCGTCCCTTGAGTCATCTCTTGACAGGGGCTCGGGCATGACTGGGGCAGTTGTCTCCAGTAGAAGACAGCAGCCTGGCTCTCTGGCATGGGGAGGATCTTTTGTGTTACTTATCCTGCTGCCCAGGAGCACTTCCAGGGCAGAGCTGGTAGATTGGCGTTGCCCTTTCCCCTGCCCCTGATGCCCCTTCTCCCAGAGGGACCTGCTCATCTCCTGCAGCTCTTCTGGGCCTGGTCCTCACCCTCTCGCAGCAAGGAGGGACCAGGCTGGTGCCCAGTTCTGG